GTGATTTGCTGGGCTTCAACCGTGGTTATTGTTGTTCCAGCACTATTTTAAGTAACCACATGGAAACAAGCGTTGAAATTGATGGATTGATTGCTGTTTCTCATTGGATTGGAAGGTCTCACTTTTCAAAAGATCAAATGTAATTCCTTGCCCTTTTCTGCCTTGATATATCATGTCAGGTTAGTAAGATGTCTTACCCTCATTATTGTCTCAGAGAAACAATGCAGAGAGTCAGAGAATTACTGCAATTTGGAGGATTTGGGGACACCGAATATTTGCGAAGGACACTTGCAAAGGAATTTCAACAAATGGAACACAGGTATTAACAAAAGAATTAGAAATCTGAAATGTCATAGAATCTTGTTCGTGTATAGAAGTTCTTACTTGAATGTATTGTTTATTGCTTTTTCATTGTAAATTCTTCATATTAATGCTATATCTACTTTTTCATTCATAAATGTTCTTACACGTTTCCTCAGTGGGAAAAATATGAACGATGGAATAAATAATTGCTGTTATCTATTGTTAGGAGTAATTGCTTCTCACCCCACCCAACCCTTCCCCCCACCCTCATCCCTCTTCAAGTCTGGTCCTCATTGCTGGTATGTGTACCAAATGTGAAATTCTAGATCTCTTTGTATGCATAACAGGAGTTTGAGGATAATTACCTGGGTTCAAAATTGGTTGTTTTACCCAACTCATCCATTATTTAAGCTGAAATATTCATTTCTTATTTGGCTGATTCAGGACTTGTGTTGATGGGGTTTGTCTGTAGATATTTCTATACGCATGCCTATTACCATAAAGTTTTACCTATATTTGTCATTTCCTTGCCTGAGTGGCCAGAATCTTGAGACCATAACGAGTGGAGAGAAAGAGAAAGAAAAGGAAACCTTTGGGGGTTAGGGGTTGTATTCTGGAGATTGTCCTCAACAATAGTTTTTCACTTACCCTCTGTCTAATAATCTGGTCTTTCGCATTTGATCTCAGGTTGATTACTTGACAATGTACATGGAAACTTTAGTTGGGTGATCTTATCGGATTGGGCTTTCTGTTTAGCTTATGATCCTTGTGTATGGAAATACCGTATCTCATGTTTCCTGATTAGGAACTAATTTGATCATTACAGTTTCAAGGAAGCTGCCCAGATGCCTTTTTCTACTATTTCAAAAAAGATACTTTGTATGAATTTGTTGCCGCTATTCCCACTTACATCAGTTTCAACATCCACCAGATACATTCCCATTTCACTGTCCTTCTATGAGGTATATACCTTTAATCTTAAACTACAAATTTTATCCAGAGATCCACATGTGCAGGGTAATACTGCTTTTTCATGCTAATCATTTCTCTGTATGACTCTGCAGGATGACTCTGAATTTGCTTCATCTAATCAAACCCATGAAATTGGGTTTACAGATTATATTTCCTTCCAAATACCTGATGAGTCTTTTGTAGATGTAACGAACTGTTTAGCAGTAGTGAGGGGACTTTCGAATGATTCAACCAATGTGAAGCAGGGAAGACCTTTGGAAGCAATCTTGTTGTGCATCCCTCCTGGTTACTGTTGTGTGGATTTGGCTCTATATAAGGTAAAAGCTTGGTATCTTATATTTTAAAGCCCAAATTTGTAAATTTGGCTAATATATTCTGTTGGAAACAGGAACATCAAATTGTTATGTTGCTAAATAAGATGAATGATACTCGTGAAAACTTGGGAGATGCCTGGATGACGATCTTGCAGGCCTGTGACCTTCCTTTTGTACATATTGCCGGTATCACTTGTGCAAATAACTGGGAGTTGTACCAATTGAAGGTAACTCATGGATCTGGAGCTTGCATATTAATTTCTTAGTCATGATATCCTGAGTTCTATTTTTCCGGATCATGTCAATTCACTACCTAAGACATTGATGGCAAAAGGAAAATTACTAGGATATTCTTCTTTTATGTCGACTCCTGGTCTTTTCAGAGTTTTAAGAAGTGACTCTGGTTGGACCGGGGGCCACACCTGTCCAGTCTGGTTCCCCAGCAGAAATAGTATTGGTCGAGAGGTGGTGCATTGACCCTATTCAACCGATAACCAGGTGTGCCTGTCAACTGGTACCCAGCGAACCTGTCAACTAGTTTGGACCAGTTCTGGGCCTCCAAAAAATTTAAAGGAATAATGTTGGAGTTGGGTTGGGGTGTGGAACTCCAACCTCTTGTTACTAACAAAAGTGCCAACCATTTACTCCGGTGTCTGCTTGCTTCAATTTGTGGTGGATAATTTATTTATTGACCGTATTGGCCTAATTTACTAGAAAATTGAACGATGTTGTTAAGAACCTAAATCCTGTCTTTTGTGCTCAAGCGGTTCTGCTGACTCACTGGGATTCTTTTGTTCACTTGCCGACTCACTGGGCTTCTTTTGTTCTGAACGTGTGTAATCTAATATATGCAGAGTATTCTATCAGGTGACATCACATGTAATCGGTTCAATCAGTTGAACTGGTAGATCACGGCTCTACCAGTTTGACCGGTTGAACCACTGGTACGGTTTTTAAAAATGTTTGTTTTTTTTATTGTTCTTATTTATGATTTATCTGCTCTCCTCATCAGCACAAGTAGCAGCAGCTTAGTTTTTCCTCCTGTCTAGAAAGCATATACATGCCATTTCATGCTTGCAAATTCAAAGGATGTTTTACTTTCTGCCTTACTGTAACTGCAAGAGTTCCAACATACATTGACAGTTGGAGCCTTATACTTGTATCTATGTTAAGTAAAGTGCATTTGATGGCCCTAATGGGTTAGTAGTGCTATTTTTGCTTCTATTTTGTGACAACGTTTTTACTGCTTTTATTATTCTCACTTCTGAAACACTAACCCAGTGAAACTACGCATCTAGGACTCTATCTTACACCTAGACATGGAGAATGAGAAGATTCGCAGCATTCCCCATGCTGTAGTTCCTCCCTTGTCAGTTAGTGGTAAGAATTTTTTGACACTGTCATACTATCGAGCTAAAAATCAATTCATTGCGGATGCCATCAATAGTATAGTTCTGAAGATTTTTTCTTTTGAGTTTCTTACCATGTCCATTAGCAGTTTTGGATGTTTGGAAACTTATTGTTGCCCATACTCTTTTCTTTGTGTATCAATGTTTGATAAACTTGCCAGTGTCAGTTACAAATTTATCTTGTTGGTTGCGTGGTGGAACTGAATTAGTCCTGCCCATGCTTTTTACCAAATTTCCACTTAGAACCTACTCTTAAGTTTAAATGTGACTGGCATAGGTACATTGTGCCTTTTTAATGGACCACTTATGCAAAAGTATGCTCCAAAGAATAATATGTTTTCAGTTGAAGAAGTAATATACTAAAGTATTAGGTTTCCTCCTAATTTTAAATCAATTGAGAGGACAAAGTGCGAAAAGGAATGAATATATAGTGGCCGGACAAATACTACAAGAATAATCTTCTTACGATACATTGCAGTCTGGGTTACTGACTGAGAACTGTTATGTGCATGTTCATGATGACTAATACTATCATGTTATCTAGTATAGCAAGATAATGTAGAGCATTTATAGTTTACATGCATACCATAGCCTCTTTAGGCACGGAAGGTTTGCTTCCCGCCTGTGTTTCAGCATAATCCAAGTGTTGTACTTTTACTTTTACCCAACAAAGGTCTAAACATCACGTTAGTTATGGCCATATATTCAAGGAACACCGGACTGAAATCAAGTTGATGTCTTTTTGGCAACAGCAAGTAGAGGTGTGGCTTGTGTTTTGGCTGCAAGAAAACGGGCCCTGGTCTACATACTGGACGAGGATGAAGATGAAATCACTGATTCAGAATGACCATCCGTTCAAGAATTTGTGGTGGTTATGCTCGTGTTGCTCCTGTGGGTGGACCTCTACTCCTTGAAGCTGCAGACATCGGTGTGAGAAGCAATGCATGTGGGCTTTTGTGACTGAAGCTTTTTGGCTCCGCCCTTCTCGGAAAGCCTTAACTTACACCTGCCATGTGCCTTTTCTGCTAGGTGGCCATTTGTCGAAGAGAAAATTGGAGTAAAAGGTAACTATTTATCTATTGAGTTAGACCCGTAGCTTCTATCTGGTGGTAATTGTCTTCATGGTATTGCTGCAAGCTTTGAGACCCATTCGATAGTGCCAAGTTTATGCTTCGTCTGTATATGTTTATAACTTTCATATATAAGAGAACCAAATGCTTGGTTTGGATTATTTATACTTTGGGTTGAATGGTTCACTTGGTCTAATTGACCAACGAACTTTGCGTTTGAATGTTTGAATTCTCTCACTTAATATTTGACTTGCTTCTCCACGTCGCCGTTAAGTGATGCATCCAATCCGATGCACAAAATACCTTCTTGTGTGGAAGGGCTTCCCTCGGGGATCGATATAATCAACATGACTAGCCGTTGGATATATAGTTTCAAGGTGGCTTTATAGAACAGTGACCATATTCCGGTCTCAGAAATTCGGAATCCACAAATGAACGGTAGGTTCAGGATTTTGAGATTATGTCTACAATATCTTCATTGGACTTGCGTCTTCTTAACAAAGAGTATCACGTAGCCAGTAAATTTAATGATGTATAAACATACAGGAATGTTGAATTGTTTAAATAGTTCAGGAAGGAAAGGAAATGCGGAATGACACGCTAAAGATAAAAGATCTAGATACTCAATCCTATATTAGAAGGATAAATTCCAGTGCAAACCCAATCTTAAATCGAACTAACCCGGGGCTGTTTTGCATAAAGCTCGTTATGTAGAAATTTAAGTAAAACATTTCAGGGACCGAGAAAACAAGAAGAGAAGGCCACGAAAACGAGTATGGGGGAACTTAGCATCGTAGCTTAACTGCGTATACGTTCCGGAAAATAGTTGCATTGCCACTGGATAGCAGCAGTAGGCAAGACTTATTACATGGGACTCCATGGATGTTGTGGTCGCAATTCTAATGCATAATAAGCGTAGAATCCAAGTACCCTCTTTGAATGATTCCTTACATGTGATGTATCAGAGAACTTTTCTGAAGAAAGATGTCAAAAGAACTAAAGTAGAGAGACGCTTTTCAAAAAAAAAAAATTAGTCACTTAAGAAGGCGTTCGACAAAGCCTGTTCTATGTACAGATGAATAACATCATCAATGAAATATCACCATCATCTAAGAAAAAGTTACCATCACTTGTACGAGGAATAAACTGAGAATCATCGACATAAGAACTATTAGCAAGCCGGACTTCGGTCGGTGGTTCGTCTAACTGCATAATTCTGACACCTCTCTTCCTGATGAAGTACCCCCACTGCAACACTGCCTTTATCTTGAGCCAGCCAATAACACCTCTGCTGGTACGCCTAACAATACCATGATCGAATGTGTCATTATATGGTAGGCTATCAGCGAGCCATCCAACCACATCATCTGGATCAATTGATTGTAAATCTTCCATCACGTGATTGCCTTCATGATCGAATGTGTCATTATATGTTTGGCTATCAGTGAGCCATCCATCCACATCATCTGGATCAATTGATTCGAAATCTTCCATCACGTGATTGCCTTCAGGAAGAGGAAGTGTCCTACTAGATTGGAAGCTTGAAATTGGGCCATAGGACGGTTCAGAGGAAAGACCATTATCATATCCTGCATAGTCCATTCGGCTTGAAGAATTGATCGTTTGGCGACACATGGCATTCTGTAAATTGATACCAAGGCATTGTGTTGGCAATCCGGCAGTAGTACTACCATGATATCCCGGAGGGATCAAAACATTCGAGCGGTCTGCAGACATGGGCCGACATGCAGCAAAACGAAAAATTTCGTCGACTGTAATCTCCGTGGAATTTCCAGAATTCGTATTTTGTGACTGAACTGGCAATGCCAAAGCCGTTGCACCATTGAGTCCTGGAGAAAAAACTAAAACATTAATGTGGTTTGTAAACAATAGCCGACGTAAGCACGGGTCTACGAGCTATAAAAATTCTTGCAATGATTGGTTATGAGCTTTTACTATTCTGATATCACGGAAAGCGCTAGTTTTTTTATCTCCTTACCCTGCGCACATCTCTTTAGTTTTTCTTGCCCCTGATCTTGTAATCTTAACACTCTTCAATTGACAAGGCCCTTTCTGAAACGATTCCAGTCACCATTTGATAAAAATGCACATATAAGCACGTTGCCGTGTGCTCATTACATCTATTCATGTCTACCTAGTGATAGCAATATCTTGTCAATATCCAATTAGCATCGCCTAAGTGGCGGTGTTCATGAGTATCTGCCGTCCCCCATCCCCAATCCCCCTCTCAAAAAAGGCACATGTTCCCAACTAGTTTTTTTGTTGCTTTTCAACTGCATGGACACGACCCATACATGCATACATACATATATACGTATATTGGCCAAATGGATAGAGTGTATTGAATGAGGGTCATTTTGCAACAATCACAGCTGGACAAACAAACGACTTCATATTATGTGGAACCCAAAATCATAAGGATCTGGAACGCAATGCCTTTATTTATTAAAGCTACACAATAAAGTGGAAGTCCAATTTTCATTGTAATTTCACAGGCCACATCTTTTTATGAGCTTGAAGGGAGATACGTTTTTGTGTTTTAGAGCACGTACCTACAGCAGTGGAGCCCACATTTGCCAGAGGAGCTTCCGGACCAACTGGAGCAGCAAAGATTGGGTTGAAATTTTCAGTTTGTCCACCAAAGACTTGAGATGAAAATGAGCTTGAGCTATTCTTCTGCATTGAATCAGAAAACGTCTCACCACTGAACTCTTTCACATCATTCCAGTTAGCCAAAGCCTTTTTCCCGATTGTATCTCCATGTTCCTGAAAGAAAAACACTTGGTAATTTGCTCAGGCTGGACTAATGGAAGTATTTATCTCCATTATTGACGGGGAAACATTCTGGTTTCAAGCAACAACATTTTTCGGCAAGTAATGTTGCATTATGTTCGCTCGTTTTACGACGAGGAATATCCTTCACCGAAACTTCGATTTTCGGTTTTTATTAAAGTAGGTTCTGTGGCTTGATTACTAGGAGAGTTGTGGTGAAAAATAAAGTGTAACACAAGATTGTATGGAATGGATAGAAATCAGATGGATTGAAAATGGATCTGGGATCAACAGAGTTCCAAGCTACGTTACGATACTCCTACGAAAGCTGTAAAGGACTTGAAAGTTAACTAAAGCTACAGGAATCTGTAAATACAGGAAGTAAAGATGCATAGGAAACTAAAGTACAGATAAGCCCGAGTGTTTTTGCATTGTTGTTCGTCCCCTTTCCTCTTTGCTTCCTCTGAGTATTTGTATCTCCTCCTATCCTGTAACTGCTTCGTCGGTTACTTCCATGTTTTCAAATTTTGAATTTTGGCGCTTCCAATAACTGCCTTTTCTACCCACGTTTTTTCAGTTTTATTATCCGCCAAAACTTGATCTCAATTGCTGAGATGACTTCAAATCTGGGCAAGTAACTTCCCACAATATGCTCGTGTTCACTATCCCCGCTTTTGCTCACAACTTCTTGCTATCGTGATTTACGTGGCTGAGCTGTGATTTTTCAGTATATTCCCGAAGTGTAAACCTACCAAGTTTCGGGAAAGGGTCGTTGTCCTGAGGCATAAATATTCCAACGTCCCGAACTATAATTTTCCATGTTTCGGTAAATATACATATTTTCATCAATTACCGAATTCGGGACATGATGCAATTCACTCTTGCTTCTCAGCATGTTTCCGAATTCGGTCCAAACGTGTTTCGGAAGATGGCTAATTTCCATTATACACCAAATTCGGCATTAAAGCCGACGCAGCGTTTATGCCGATTCTTATTTTGGTGTCAACATATGCCCCCTTTTAAAAGGATTAAAAGAACTTTTAATTCTTTTAAATGCCAAAAGAAAGGACACTTACGTTTTATTCTTGATGTCACTTCGTCACCTCACTTCGCGCGCTTTTGCCCTTTCGTCTTCAAAACACTTCTTCTAAAAATCGTTCCTTTCTTCGTGCCTTTGCATTCTCACCTTCTCGATTCTTTGCAACTTTTCGATTCTCTACACCCTCTCTCAATAGTCATATGAACCCAATGGCTTCCAAAGTTTCCAAGGATCAAACTTTTTCCTTTTTCGCATCAGACGCTCTTGATCGCTACCATATATTTCGAGATTCCGAAGATTTCAACGAAGAATTTCATCTGTTCTCCGTGGAGAATGATTTCGAGGATTCTTACATCCTTGGTCCAGCAGTTCACAATCAATTCTCTGTTTCAAAGTGCCTGTCAAGCCATTTCCCACGTCATCAATTTAAAGTGCTTCCAGTCCACAAGTCATCTATCTTGGCATATCAGTGGCACTCTCGTCCTCCTCGCCTTAGGGCTTTTTCCATCTTTGAGCCAGATTTCTACCAATGGTATCTTCGACTCCTCCCTTTTAAGGGTCCCCTTTGGGATACCCTTTCGATTCATAATGCTCTGCGTCTTAGCTGTTTTGATTACCATTTGAATCACGAACTAATCGGAGCATTATCTTGCTTTTGGTCGACTTCCACTAACTGCTTCTTTTTCCCTTTCTCTCCTATGTCGGTAACTTTGCTTGATGTATACTGCCTCACTGGGCTCTCTCCTTTGGGTACAAACCCATCTACCCTGTCTCCTGATTCTCATTCAATGTTTAGTAAATTATCTGATTCTGAAATGGCCTATGGGACATTCATAAAAAAGTACTTCAAGAAGGAGAGTATAGTTACCGACGAGGAGCATACTGCATCTCTTTTATACAGGCTCTGTAAATTCCTTTTCTGCCACCCCATAGTTAGGATTTCGAATGATTTTGTTGTTGTTGCCTCCGCTCTAGCATCAGGGACCTCACTGGCTCTAGGCAAAACCATGTTAGCCTTGCTATATCGGGGTTTAGCCCATGCTCCTCCATTGCTTCAGAAGAAGTTAGTGGAGTTTTTGGTGGTCCTCTTTGGCTTCTTCAAGCATGGGCGGCTTTCTATTTCCCTGCCTGGTTTTTTAAGGATCAAGTTATCCAACTCCTTTCGATTTCCATTCCTGACCAACCAGTTTGCCAGGCCTTGAGTAGAAAATTAATCCCTGTTTCCGAAGAGCCATCTCTTATCTTCACTATTTTATTTCTCAAATCTATTCTATAGAAGAGAATCCATATTCCTTTTCTCCTTTCTTTGTTTCCCGATTCAAGTCCTACCTTCTTGCTTTCCAGAAAAATAGGAGTGACTTCTGGTAGACTGTTCTGACTTCTGTTGATCTTCCTGTAAGATTTTCAACAAAAGGCAGATTCGCTGCTGGTTTTGAAATTTACTCTCCCCAATACTGTGCCAGACAGCTTGGGTTGATTCAAGGGGTTCCTGTTCCAGCCCTTTATACCTTCTCTTATGCTTCATTTGATAAAATATCCTGCAAGCTAAAAGATAATCAACCTTTTGTTGAGCTGACCACACTGATTCGGGATATTCATCGATTATCTCGTGTTGTCGAATTCACTGGATATCCCAACCGTTCTTCAACCGATTTTGACCTCTGGTGGGATGGTTATCGAAAGACCGTGTTTTCAGATCCTCTAGATCAAATTCTCTTGAAGATAAGGGATGCTATTCCTCTTACAGTGTCTAAAACAATCGAAGCTGCCAATGTACCTTCAACTAAACCAATAGAGTCTTCTAAAGGTAACTTGATTTTGCTTTTCCATATTCATGTATTTTGTTTGATACTCAACTTCCAATCTGACTTTTTATTCTTATAGTGAGTAAGAAAAGGAAAGCTTCAGACTCACCTGCTCCTGCTCCAAAGAAAGTACTAGCAAAACGTAATGTGAGGGGAGTGATTATTCGATCCTCAGAGTCACCTCCAGAGAGCTCTCTAACAGTAAATCAATCTCCAGAACCCACACTACGAGCTATGATAAAGCCACGCACTCCAAAAGGTAATTCTCATGCTTTACTTTTGGAGGTTATTACAGCCCTAACTTGTTTATCCTCTGATTAATCCAGGAACTTTTAAGACCTATCAGCCCAGTACTGCTTCTCCTGTTTCTCTTCCTAGCAAGGCTCCTACTCCACCAGCTTCCAATCCTTTACCAATGATTCCTGCTCCTTTGACAGAGGCTGAATTGATTCAAGAACAACCCTTTGTTCCAACTTCGAAAGAGAGTATACCACCAAAGGATACTCTTGCCCCTATTGTAGAATCTGAAAAAGATCTTTCTTCATTTTTTATCGGTAAATATTACTATCTTTTATTTAATTCAAGATTTTATGCTGTTGTCTAATATACATAGGCCAACATTTGCAGTTACTGGTGAGCCCATTCCTGTGCTTCAAGAAACTTCCATTTCTGAAGGAGCATCAAGTGTACCACCACTTGCAGTCACTGATGAGCCTCAAGAGACTTCAATTTTCGAAAGAGCATCAAGTATACCATTACTACCTGCTACTTATACAGTTACTGTTTTGCCTCCCTCCACATCTCGTGCTGTGCCTAGTCCACTTGCCGAGATAGAAATTTTTTCTCAAGCTGAACAGGCAGAAATGGAAAGGATATTAGCAGGTACTCATCCTAGCTCTTCCACAGCTCCTGATTCTCCAGAGTCCTCAACTTTATCAATGTCTGCCGAAATCCCCAAAGAAATAGCCAAAGCTAAATGGGAAAAGCTCCTTAACTTATTGGAACCTGGCTATGGAAAATTGATCAATGACTCTGATAAGGAACGCCAGGCAAGGATTCTCTTCCAGGAAGTATGCTCTGGTAATCCATCCTTTGTTTTATCTGAGCCTTTCCAGGACAAGATTGATCTCTTTGCTGTTGGCTTTGTGGATGCTGTGAGCACAATAAGAGTCAACCTTGATCAACTCCCTCGCCTTCTCTTTGGGGAAAATCGAGGACTGGCAATCCAAGATGAACTGGCCCGTAAGCGTGAAGATGCTCGTCTTTTCTACAACAATTTCAAAGTTGAAGAGAGCAAACTTCAACGCTTGGAAGCCAGGAAAGAAGAGCTTGAGGCAGAGCTGAGGATGGTGAATGCTCAATTAGAAGAACAAAAGCTCACAGTTTCGACTTTCTGTCCTACACTCAGGCGCAAAATGAAGCAGTGTCGGGAGTTGGAGAAAGAATTTGATGCTACTATTGGAATGGTCAGAGTCCATGAAAAGAAGAGAGCTGAGATTATGGATGAAAACCATAGGATTGAGACTGAATTGAGAGATTTTGTAATCGAGGCCAAAGCTCTATTGGCCAAATGGAAATAAATTAAAAATCTTGCTTGCTGGATTTTGATCTCCTTTACATTTACTTAATATCCCGATGATACAAACTCCCGACGCTGTACTTTGTTCACATCAATAATTTAACCTTCTTAACCAAAGGTTAAACTTAATCTCCATTTGGCTCCTTTGACATTTAAACCAACTCAAAGAAAATTGCTCCATTGCAACTTTCGTAATTCAAAGGTCGAATAATAACCTTCCTTTTCACTTATCCTCTCTGAAATTACTGATTACCGAATTAATAACTGTTTGTCCATACGCATACACCACGTTCTGCCTCTATCTCAGTTCCCCAAGAACTCCGGCGCATTACTACCCACGATCTGCTCCATATCCTTTACCTTTATAACTGCCCAAACTTACCAAATCTTTCCTGGGAACTTACAGCTCTGTTGATGATGTCTTCACATGGTTCTTCATCTCAGTTGCTTCTTTGGTCACGATCACAAAGATGTCGCACTTCCCATGAAGGTAAATTTTCCATTGAACATTACCAAATTTGGGCTTTGACAACTATTTAACATAGACAACTTATTTATTCGACCATCTTTAGGTGATCGATCCTTATGGAGGCGACTGCACGAATTGCTGTCCTTAGGGGTGAGCAACTTGGACCGCCCAAACCGGGACCGGACCGGACTGACGAGTTTGGTCCGGTTCTCGGGACTATCGGTCCGGTTTCCAGTTCTTAAAAGCGGAACCGGTTTCCGGGCGATCCGGTTCCCGGTTCCAAGGGGGAACCGGACCGGACCGGATCGACCGGACCGGACCGACTATTTAATATATATTTTTGTTATTTTTTTAAAAAAAAATTAATAAAATATGAACTAAACTCTAAGTGAACTTCATTATCATAAATTCATTGATAAAAAATAGTAAAATGTGAATTAAACCCTAAGTGAACTTCATTAACATAAATTTATTGACAAAAATTAGTAAAATGTGAACCAAACCTTAAGTGTTTGACAAAAAAAAACCCTAAACTCTAAGTAACCGGTTCCATTGGACCAGACCGGAACCGGACCGGACCGACAGTCCTGTCCGGTTCCCGGTCCTAGAACCAACCGGTCCGGTCTGCGGTTCCCAAAATTGGGAACCGGTTCTCTCGGTCCGGTTCCCGGTTCCACCTTGGAACCGGACCGGACCGGGAACCGCTCACCCCTAGCTGTACCAAGGACATCATGCTTTATTATTGACTCACAAGCATAAGGTAGAAGTTACCGATTTGGCTAATTTCTTCAAATCCAAAGTGTTTCTGTCTGCAGATTCTGGCTTCTTGGATCTGGTTTGGGAGTTATGCTCTTTATTCCCTGCTAGTTTTGATGAATTCGAACATAATGCGAGGGAAATTTGGAATTTGGAGCCTATTATTGTGGAAGCTGACGCCCTTCATCTTCAAATTGAGGAAGAATCTTCCCGATTACAAAATTCCAAAGAGAAATATGCTCAAGCTCAAGACTCCTGTACTCAAGCTAGAGATGACGTTGAGATGACACGTCAACTTCTCAATTTCCTTTCCAATCATCATCGCGTGGAGCGGAGGATACTCAGAGATGAAATTTCCCGTGTTAAGTCTATGGTTGAAGTTTCTTCAAACAAGTACAGGCAATTGCTTCAAGAGGCTTGGGAGAAGTTTGAAATCGTCCGCTTTCATTCTCGTCACCTGGAATATCTCGAGGGACAACAATCTAAACTCCATCAGGATCTTGTCTTGCATTCTCATTATGTAGTCCAAAATCTCAAACTTGTTAATGACTTGCGGATCTTTGTCACCAAGATTAGAATGTACTTTCATTTCGAATGAATAGATTAATTTCCTTGTGTTTCCCAGATTGATGGATGATATTTCTTCAAAAATTTCCCATTTATAGAACGTGATAATTCTTTTCCATTGACATCCATCAATCGGTATGCATTCGCACTAAGCACTTCGGTAACTAAATATAGGCCTTCCCAATTTGATGACCATTTACCGAATTCCCTGTTTTGGAGGTTAAATGGCAAAATTGCTCTCCACACTAAATCTCCCACAATAAACTGTTTGGCTTTAACTCTTTTATTAAAAGCTCTGGCCACTCTTCTCTTTTGTGCAATCAACTGATCCAAAGAAGCCGCACGAACCTCATCTAGCTCATCCAAATTTATGTGCATCCAATCTCTATAATCTTCGGACAACATTTTACTCTGCAATTGGACTCTTAAAGATTGTATTGTTATCTCCATCGGTAAAACTTCTTCTTGTCCATATGTAAGCATATAAGGACTGACACCTGTGCTCGATCTTCGTGATGTTCGGTATGCCCACAACACCATTGACAATAAAACATCCAATTCTCTTGGATTTTCTTCTAGATGCTTC